CCAGATGGAATACCAGTGAAACTATATAAAGAACAACAAGGCAGATGGAATACCAGTGAAACTATATAAAGAACAACAAGGTGCACTCAATCAATACCTACTAGAAGTTTTCAACGCCGTATTAACTGATGCTAAAATACCTAAGTCCTGGTCAAAGGCAAATATAATATTGATTCCAAAAGAAGAAGTGGAAAAAACACAGATACAAAATTATAGACCTATATCATTACTGAATTCTGACTATAAAATGTTTGCCTCAGTAATGTCAGAGAGATTCAAAAAGTACCTAATTGATTTCATACATTCGGATCAAAATGGGTTTTTACCAAACAGACAGACTAAGCGGAATATAAGAACAATTTTAAACATTCTCGAATTTTATGAATCGCATAGTGATCATCAAGTGGCACTTCTGTTCCTTGATGCACAGAAGGCTTTTGACAATGTCAATTGGCAATTTATGATCCAACAACTAAAATTAATGGATGTTGGGGGAAAATTTTTAAAAGTGATAACCGCAATATATTCTGAACAAAGGGCCCAGATCATAATAAATGGAGAGGCCACTGATAAATTCAACATACAGAAAGGTACAAGACAAGGATGTCCTCTCTCGCCATTGTTATTTATATGTACATTAGAAATTCTTGCTAGAATAGTAAGACAAGAAGAGCAGATTAAAGGACTTAAGATTAAGAAAGAAACATACAAACTTCAAGCTTATGCAGATGACTTAGCATTTATATTAGAAGACCCAGAACAATCAGGGCAGAAACTATTCGAAATATTGGAAGAGAATGGGGATCTGGCAGGTTTGAAAATAAATAGAAACAAAACAAAGATTATAACAAAAAACATGACTAACATACAAAAGAAACCTCGAGGCAAAATTAGGTATACAAGTAGTTTCCAAATTAAAATATCTAGGGATAGTTATTTCAGCACGCTGCTCATCAATTAAAGAAGACAATTATGGCAAATTGGTAAAGAATATAAAAGTAGATTTAGACCGTTGGACAAATTTGCATCTTTCATTACTTGGGAGAATTGCTGCAGTGAAAATGAACATCTTACCTAAAATGATATTCCTGTTTCAGAATATCTCAATTCAATTAGACAAGAAATTTTTCAAGGAGCTGAATAAATTAACCTTAGAATTTGTGTGGTCCGGTAAGAAGGCAAGAATAAAATTAAAGGCATTACAGGATGCCAAAGAAAGGGGAGGTTTAGGTTTCCCAGATTGGGAGCTTTATTACCAAGCAGCAGCCCTAACATGGATTAGAGACTGGATAACCTTAGAAAATAAAAGATGTTTACATTTAGAGGATTATGACCTCCAGCAGGGTTGGCATGCTCACATATGGATGGGGCAAAGCAGAAACCACCAATATTTTTTAAGACATAACGTTCGGCAAGAATTAATAAAAAGCTGGAATATAGTTAAACGTCAATATTACACAAAGATTCTGGCTTGGCTATCGCCATTGGAGGCAGTCACATATCCCAATCTGTATAGGAAAGACAAGGCTATTATACTGTATATAAAGACATCTTGACAGAAGAAGGTTATTTAAAACAAAAACAAGAGCTAAAACAACAAGGAATAGACATGGAGTGGTGGTCTTATCTCCAGATACAAGCAAGATACATGAAGGATAAGCAAGAATGGGGTATTAACAGACAAGATACGGGGTTAGATAAAATACTGCTAGGCCTGGAGAAAAAACAAATAAAGAATATTTATAAACACCTGTTGGAACATAAGCTATATGAGGAGCAGGTTAAAGAAACAATGGTGACATGGGCAATAGATCTAGGATATAATATAAATATGGATCAATGGCAGCAAGTATGGGAGCGAAATAACAAAATCACATTGGCGACATCATATAAAGAAAACCTGTATAAGATGGTTTACAGATGGCATCTCCCTCCGGCCAGATTAGCCAAAATGTATAATGGATATGGATCTATGTGCTGGAAATGTAAAAAAGAAAAGGGCACCTTTTTCATGTATGGTGGACATGTAGAGAAGCACAAGTGTACTGGCATATGGTCTGGGAATGGGCAATAGAAATGACTAGGCAAAACATTCAATACAAACCTGAGGCATTACTATTAGGAATACTAGAGAAAAATGTAAATAAAGAGGACACATATTTAATTATTCACGTGGTTACGGCGGCAAGGATACTATTTGCTCAAAAGTGGAAAGCAATGGAAGTACCGAGTGGGGAAGTACTAATAAAGAAAGCTATGTATTGCGCAGAACTAGATAGGATAACTGAAAGATTAAAAAATCAGGAAGAAACAGAATTTTATCGAATATGGAATAAATTTTATAGATGGAGGGGAAAAAATGGAGGTCACAAATAAAGAGATAAGTTAAGATAGAGACCAGAAATGTATAGTTTGTATATAGATATATTATATGTAATTAATGTACAAAATGGACTGAGATGTCAGTCAAAGACAATTTACCATGTTCAATGTTTTTAATCCTTTTTTTTCTTTGTACTCAATAAAAACGTAAAAAAAACAACTGTCTCCCTTAGTAACAGAAATTTTGGGCTTAACTGTAGTCGTAAGTCAAGTAGCTAATTTTTCTGAAGGATCAGCTGTAAATAACTAAATGAATGGGTGACACTGCTTAGGGGCAGCATTTTTCAGTGGTGTGTTCTTACAGAAAGAAAAAGAAAGGTACCATTTATCCTGGGTATTTTTTATACCATTGTATAAAGATATATTGGTGGCGTGGGCTTCAGGAGAGTGGGAGGGAATGGCAAAGCCCTAAAGAAACAAAATATATATCCTAATGTTGCAAAATAAATTCCACTCCTTATGTATTAGTGTGCCTTGTCATGACACTAATATGAAATGGTGGAGCTTGCACTATGTTGACACAAGCCATGTTTCATCATTCTGCCATCTTCATGGCAAGGTGTGGGCCCCTCTAATTTATAGGGCACATAAATAATAATAATAATAATAATAATAATAATAATAATAATAACAACAATAACAATAACAATAATAACAACAATAATAGTAGTAGCAATAATAATAACAATAATAGTAGCAACAATAATAATAGTAGCAATAATAATAGTAATAATAATAATAGTAGTAGTAATAATAGTAATAATAGTAATAGTAATAATAAAAAGTTGGAAGGGACCTTGGAGGTCATCTAGTCCAACCCCCTGTTCAGGCAGGAAACCCTATACCATTTCAGACAAATGTCTCCATTTTGCATTTCAAGACAGTGGATGAACAAAAGCCACAATAACCCAGATGAAGGCTTCAGAAATCCAAATCATTTCCAAAACGGAATGCAGTTCAACTGGATATACTTATACTATAAACCCATGTGTGTTTATAGATAAGTGGGTTTGGAATCCAAGTTGCAAATTCTCTATTTACTTTTTAAAAATAGTGACATTCTCTCCCTAGTGATAGAGTTTTGATAAGAAGTTTTTAAATGTAAAATTCATTTTTCTTGAGCAATGACAGAGAATTGTATCTGTTAGCCTTGTGAGATAATCCACGCAAGAAACACAGCCAGAAATTTTAGCTTTACCTTTCTTTTGTAAGGTTGCATTACCAGAATCCTGCAAGTTTGAAAGTACCTCTTCCATCCCTCACTTTCACTCTCCTAAAAACTATGGATGGTTCCTTCTGAGATTATTTTACTATCTCTCCTCTTTTAGATTAAAAATTAATTTATCAGACTACTTTATAAACTCTAGCTCTTCCTCCTTTCTCCCAAGATCATTGCCACATACCATTACAAAATCCCAAAATATGCATACCAGTTTACTATTCTTTAAGCTTAGAACTGCAGTCCAGTGTAATATAATCAGTAAAGGCTCTGTGAAAGTGAAGGTTGGATTTTGACAAGGAAGGATCCTTTGCACTGTATTATTGGAGAGGACTCCTGGGAATATCAGGGATAGACAAATATAGCTATTGCAAATATGTCATGAATAGCCAGAGTCCTCACTTGAAGCACAAATGACTGGGCCACAGATTATGCAGATATATGTTAATATGCAAACATTATGCAAAGACATTGCTTTGAATAAGTCTATAATTCTGGGAAAGGTAGAAAGAAAGAGGACAACTAGTCAGAAGGGGATAAGGAAAGACTCAGTTATAGCAATAATGGATGCATCATTGGAAGACTTGAAGGATTAGGAATAGATCATTGCAGTTGATAAGAATGGACACCTACTTGATGGCACATGATCAAGTTTGGAATTAAATATAGACATAGAAACTTAGAAGAGGTTTTGGCACTATACCTATAATTCACCAAGGAAAGTTTCTGTTTCAGATACTGCTCATACTTTCTTATGTAAACTGGAAACTTCAATTAGTGTGTTGAAGCAAGATATTTCATTATTATGTTTACACATTTTTCTTTGCTAACTCAAGTTCAACATGCTGTTCCTGGTAGAGTGCTTTGCACGTTTTCTGTCCTGATTGGCCTATTTTAGGGCCTGGCATAAGTTTTAAATATCTAGCTCTATTTTAATTCCCATTCTTGTACTCAAAAAGACTAGATTTGTTTTTAGAACTAATTTATAATTCTAATTCACTAATTTAAACAGATACTGAGGAGGTAAATCTGCTTTTTTTTTTAGTAGTAGCAAGCAAGCACTTGACAAAACATTCATTGCTGTATCTTCAACCACCAACTTTAACCAAAAGCTCCAAACTCCCAGGCCACACTTTCTGATTTCCATAAGCCACACAACCCTGTTTCAAATATTTTTCTCTCATAACTTCAATTCAATTCCTATTTTAATGGACAATTGTTCATTATTCCACTAACAACTGATTCCCCATAAAGATGCAATTTCTCAAACTTGATAGAGTTGCTTGAATTTTGTAAAGGCAAAAGCAACCCCTTTGAAAACGTATCAACCTGGCTGCAGTGCATAACAGCTGCTATTGGAGCCCATTTACATAGGAATAAATGGCTACAGAGTACTTACCTGTGAATATAGTATCCCCATGTTTTTCCTTTTAATGCCACTTGAAGTCCTTTTATTACATTTCTTTAAAATGGGATCCACAAAGCCTCTTAGCTGAACATGGTGAAGAGCAAAGTAGACCCAAAACTCTGCATTTTCTTTAGGTTCCCTGTGTTCTTCCTATGCTTGCTGTAAGTGTTTTCTTAATCAGGCACAGAACAAGAGGCTCTGCCCAGTTAAATAGAGGTGTGTATTCACTTCCTGCAAGTTCTCACAATGTTGTACAAGTTACAACAGAGCAGTTATTGGCACACTTTGTCAGTGAAGTAATAAAAAGTGGTTATCTTAAGGAAGTTTGGAAATACTAGCAAAGATATGATGATCCATACAGTTTAACTGTATTTTTAAGGAGAGTGGAATGAAACCTCAGAAATGCCGAAATACAAGAATGTGCAGGTAGGGAAGTTTAGAAAGTTTACAGTGATTTGTTTGGAAGTGTTCCTAGGAGCCAGTGCATCAGTAAACCAGAAGCAATTTGTTCTTAGCCCACTTGTATTCAGTAGACAATGTAAATAAGTAATCCTTATTTTTGGTGCTGGAGAAGACTCCTGCCAGTCCCTTGGACTGCAAGGCGTTCAAACCGGTCAGTCCTAGAGGAGATCAACCCCGACTGCTCTTTAGAAGGCCAGATCTTGAAGTTGAAACTCAAATACTTTGGCCACCTAATGAGAAGGAAGGACTCACTGGAGAAGGGCCTAATGCTGGGAAAGATTGAGGGCAATAGAAGAATGGGACGACAGAGAATGAGATGGCTGGATGAAGTCACTGAAGCAGTAGGTGTGAACTTAAATGGACTCCAGAAGATGGTAGAGGACAGGAAGACCTGGAGGAACATTGTCTATGGGGTTGCGATGGGTCGGACATGACTTCACAATTAACAACAACAACAACAACTCCTTATTTATATGAATCCCAAGTTTTATCTGCTTAGTTTAATGGAGGGATGAAAATGAAGTCATAAATATTAGCAACAGGTCAAGGGTTTGATGGCAGTTGAAGAATCAAAAGGATGTTGAATCAAACATCTGGAAACATTGCTTTTTGCTGAGAGAGAGAGAGAGAGAGAGAGAGAGAGAGAGAGTTCAACAGTACAAAAAATCAAGTCATGGAAACCAATATATTATGTAAAAGTTCCAACCTTAAGAGATGTCAGTGACAGATCTGAACTATAGGTCCATCCAAAGCATTATTTCTACAAGTCTACCTTTGTCAGGAAAAAGCAATGTCTGTATTGCTGCTTTAAAAAAAAAAGGAACACAGTAATCAGAAGTTGAGCTTAACTCAAAGATCTTACTCCTTGATGTTAATTAACTGCACATCTGAGCTTTTAGGGCCAATTGGAGAATGTATTTAAGCAATGTCTGGGGAAACAAACATAGACTGTTCACTTGCTACAAGAACCTCTGAGTAATAGGAGAGACACTATATAAAATATTACAATGTGCAGAAATGGACAGGCTCACAATTGTATTGAAAGACAAATGTAGATCAGTTTATTTCAAAACCTGGGATAAATTTTACTGCTGGAAGGATTCGAGGATGGTTGGGATTATAGGCTAGTATTAAGATAGAAATATATGTAATTTTAGAATAAGTATTGTATATAAAATTTAGATGTATATTCAGAGATGGAGAACCGATTGTAAAATGTGGAATAATTTGATAAGAATGTATATACTGGAATGTCATGTTATATCCAATGTTTTTTTGTATTGTATTATAAATAAAATTTTGAAAAAAAAGAACCTCTGAGTAATATTATATAGTCAGTGATAAGTACTGAATGTAGAAGTAAATGAGGAAGTGCTGGGCACAATTTGCTTTAAGAGCACATTAGGATTAGCTATAGCCATAAATCAAAAATAGACGCAATGCTTCTGATGAGTCAAGTGGCCTACACTCATAACCGGTTGATGCAGATTAAATACCTAAACATAGGTGGAGTTGTGGATTTAGTCTAAGATTTAACAGTTTCCCAGATAGTTCCATCTAATGCAGTTTCAACAATCACATTTATTATAGCAGAAGCTAGTTGTTGTTTTTTACAGAGTTGTACCACACACACATAGGAAAAACATCTTTGTTTTGGTTCCTTGACCTCTAAGTTAAATGCTGAAGAAGGAAAATTATTAGATGAAGACGCAAACAAGTTTCTGTAAGGTGGTGGGAGAAATCATGATTTTGGTGTTTTTTTTAAAAAAAGCATGCTATTTATGAGAATCCATCTCTCTTATTAGCTTCTTTAGTTAATTAATACAACTGAATGCCATCAGGCTTCCATAGCACTGACACAAATCATTCCACACAGCTATATGGAATATTTTCTCTTACCATATGCAATTATGGCCACCTTATAAAACTAAAATCCTGAGTTTGCTTGATTTATAATATGAAATTAAGAGGACCCAAAGTCCTGTGGGAAATGAAAAGTGTTTTGATAGAGAAGACTGCAGGGAGAAAATCAAAGATAACCCAACATTATTTTCTCATTTCTGGTTGCCTTTTCCCAAAAACGTAGCAGAGAGAATTATTTTGTTTCATTCGGGTTCTGACTGGTTATAATGTTTGATTAATTTTCTTTCTAACTTGTTTAAAATATGCACTTAATTTGTTCTGATGGCATTAGTCTGCTTTAAAATTGTGATTTGGAGGTACGCTTTTCAATGGAAAGAGGCTCAGTGACATGCTTAATGAATAAATACAACTAAAATCTCTCTCTCTCTCTCTCTCTCTCTCTCTCTCTCTCTCTCTCTCTCTCTCTCTCTCTCTCTCCTCTCTCCCTCTCTCTCTCTCTGTCTCTCTCCCCCTCCCTCTCTCTCTCTCTCTCTCCCCCCCCCCCGTGTGTGTGTGTGTGTGTGTGTGTGTGTCTCTGTGTATACACTAACTAGAGCATTTAATTCAAATTTCAATACTTTGGAAATTCCATCATTTAATTTGGGGAACTTAACAGAAGAATGTAATTGTCTAACAACTGCTGATAGTCCAATTCTGCCAAGTATGATCCTTTAGGAAAAGTTCTGGCTTATCTTGCTAACAATGTTCATTTTCAGAAGAAGCCTGAAATTGTTTTATTGTTGGCCTTTGGCAATTTTTTTTTAAAATTTGATTTCAAAGGGCACAATAAACTTTGCTATCCTTGATTGAACATTAACCAAGAGGAAAATGAGCATAAGATGACTAGGAGTTCCTAAAAAGAAGATTCTGAAAGCATAATTGCAAACAATTCCACTGAGAGGAAGAAACAGAAGATTGCTCTTGTGTGATTGCCAAAAAGCTTCATGACTATCCAAAAAATCAAAATAAAAAACAAACAAGGACACAGACAGCAAATGGAGAGAGAGTAAATCAGAGGTCTTCAAACTTGGCCTTTTTATGATTTGTGGACTTCAACTCCCAGAATTCTTCAGCCAGGCACACTGGCTAGATCTTCAAGGAAGAATGTAAGGAGGTAATTTAGAACTATAGAGAGATTGTCAGGAAAGCTCAAAATGAGCTGAGATTGGCAAGGATATTAAGAATAACAAAGGAGTCTTCTTTAGCTAAATAGGAAGAGGATCAGTATAACATCTGCTTGGGTAATAATGCTAATAAGTAACAAAGAAAAAACAAAATCATTTATCTTTTGTTTTCTTTCAGTCTTCTCCGACAAGAAAGTAAATGTTTCTCCAGAAAATTGGGAAGTGAAGCAGGACATTGATAGAATATGATCAGGCAGTATCCTCTAACTTTGAATAAATTTAAATTCCAGGTTTAGGCTTGAAGGCTTAGCCTTCATTTTATTATCCCATTCTTCAAATAACTGAAATAATGCCACTTAGAAAGTCATACCATAAAATAATGGATTTAAGTCACAGGTGGAAAGTTTCTACTTCACTGTTAGGGGAAAGAAAAGCCTTTCTGACCAGCAGGACAGTTTCACAATGGAACCAATTATCCAGGGAAGAGGTAATCATTGGATGTATTCATGCAAAGACCAAAAAGTTATATAGCAATAGCATTTAGACTTATGTACCACTTCACAGTGCTTTACTGTGTCTCTAAGTGATTTACAGAGTCAGCCTATTGCCCCAACAATCTGGGTCCTCATTTTACTGACCTTGGAAGGATGGAAGCAGTGGTAGGATTCAGATATGTGAACAACCAGTTCTCTGTGTGGATGCTGCTTCAAGAAGTCCATTCTGGGCCTGGGCAACAAAAATTTAGTTGCTGGTTCTGCCGAAGTGGTGCGAATTGGCTAAATCCCACCTTTGGATGGAAGGCTAAGTCAACCTTGAGCCAGTGAAAATCAAAGTGCCAAACTGCAGGCACAGCCGGCAGTTAGCAAAAGTAGCCTACAGTACTGCATTCTCCATATATCAGAATGCTTTAATTTAGATTCCTGTCCAGACCAAGGGGGTAAACTCAGTGTTTCTTCCTCTTTCCACTGATCTGATTTTGATGAATTTTCTTTAATTGCTATTAATCAATTAGCCCTTACAAGTCTTTCTAACAGAACTGGATAAAAATTTCGGGCATAAAACTCCTTCTGAGGGAATGATATACTGTATGACATACTTCAGACCAATAAGTGCAGGCCACTTCTACTCAAGTGACTTTTATTATCAGATTTTGCTGTGAATGGACTGATGTTTTTTTTTTTTTCAACTTGTCAGCAGAAGTGGATGTATAGTAACAGACATAGTGGCTGTTTTTCATAAATCTGCTTATGGGGCAAAACTCTTTAAAAGGAAATGTTGGGATTTTATGTATAGAGAGAGGTTAAAAGGGATTTACCTCCTTCTGTTACTGTGGATATTTCTATCTAGATATAGAAATATCCAGTTACTGTGGATATTTCTATGTAGATATCATAGACCTGCTCTACAGATAATATTACATACCCGCTCAAAAGAGTAAGTGCAGGAGACAAGGATTAGCAATGGTTTGGGGATCAAGAATTCTCAGCCTAACTTAGCTGACAACATAAGGTAAGAGGCAACTGGACTCAGATGGCTGAGATGGCTGAGAATCTCCATAGACATAAGATAAGTTCAGATGCACTGTTATTTACTTGAAGATGTGCTAAAATAATAAAATATTTTGTTTCTCCAGCTTTCTCCTCATTCCTTCTCAAAACCTCTGTGGGGAAGGATCTCAGGAAACAAGAAAAAAGAAAAATGTCCAAGAATCTATACA